TTTGAAGATAAACACATTGTCAATCATTTGTGAAAATTTCAAAACAAAAGGTCAAAGCGTCTAGAAGCTATTTTTTTTAATGTTATGGAATGTGCACTAAAAAGAATCTGAGATAATTGCTAATTTGCATAACAATTCGCTCAGGAAGAAGTTTGCTAATGCTCATAATTAAAATGGCTGTTACAGTTTCAAATTTAAATGTATTATCGTTTTGTAAAAAGTTAAATACAGTGCATAATATGGAGATCCCGTCATTTCTTTTTCTTACAATGTTTTTTTTATTATTTATGTACAGCCTTGCTAAATCTTGCTAAGCATTCAAAAAAGATAATTTTGCACCTGTTATCTATATTTTAAAATCGTTTTTTGAGTATGTTCCACTATTCACAATTCTACAAAATTTCAACAGTCTATAGCCAAGACTTTTTGGATAATAATAAAAAGCAAAAAAAATCACTCCAAAGTGCCCACGAACCTGCATCTCTACCTTAAAAATGCGTCGGCTTATGAGTAGATGCTTATTTGTGAACAATGACACGCTATGGCCATCTGCCATTCGCAGGTGATTATTCTCTACTTTAAACTACACGTATAACTATGTGATTTGCCAAAACTGCCCAATTTGTGACAGCCATGGTACAAATTAGTTAAATAATGCTTTACAAAAATTTGTTCACACTCCTTCCAAGTTTCAAATCCTCAAGCTCTTAAGGCAGAGGTATTACCGGTATCTATATTAAAATAAGTTACACATGTTGAGTATCTTCAATTTTTGCTTTTTACAGGGGAAAGCAGACTATTGCTCAAAGTAACAAAGGCAGGCACAAAGAGCAGGAATGTGCACTTAGAGAGTATTTTTCCTATTTAGGAGAACTATGATCCTATTTTCCTGATGTGCATTGACCGCAACAGCATCCAAATTGTTACAGTCACAGATCAAGAACAGTCTTCATTTCAGACTGTAATAATATAAATGTTTGTCCCAATAAGGCTAATGTTATATATGGTGTTTTGAAAATTGTACGTGATATCCCCTCAACATTTTACTGGATGGTTGATAAGTTTCCACATACACTTGATGATGGTTGATAAGTTTCCACATACACTTGTCTACTGTAAATCACTTGGTTATACAGGGGAATATCCTGCCTCAATTTCTTACATTGGGATGTACCACAGAGAAACTGATTCTGTGGTATAAGAGTCTCACTTAAAAGAAATGACGAAAGTGTCGCATACAGAGTTGCATATCATTTTGTGTACAACAGCTCTTAGAATGGGTATTAATGGATATGAAAAATTTTCATCATGTTATTCACTATGGTGCTATATTTGATATAGAGTTGTATGTACAGGAATTTGGGAGAAATGACAAACCATCTCATTCCGTTATTTTGTATCACACAAATGTATGCAGACGGGTGAAACTTTATGAAGATTTTGCAAGTCTGGAAATAAATCAATTGAAAAACAAAGTATTATATCACAGTTGTTGTGATATTTGTGTATCTAAGTGTTCATGTGGACATGGCAAAGATGGGAGTAGTTATATTGAAAGACATCTTATTCATTACTGTGCAGATAGTGATAGTGTTAGCAGTGACAGTATAGAGTCTGATGCAAAAATTGAGAATAGCTCATCAAGCACTGGTACAGAGGACTGAATGTGCCATTGATAATAGCAGTGTGAAGTTGGTATAAACAGATTGGCATTGTATTTGTATTTTATTGTAATCTGATTAAAATTCAATTCAATTCAATTCGTTTATTTAAAGTCAGTTTAAAATACCTAGCCAAAGGCTAATATCACTGACTACTAAAAATTACATCAAACAAAAGCAAAAATTTACAAGCATCAAACACAGAGAAAAACAACAATAAGATTTCACAAATAATCAATTAAATATTTTAAAATGATGGTGACCACAATGACACCATTTGCTTAAAAGAATACAAATCTTTGCACTCCTTCATTCGATTAGGAAGCGAGTTCCACATTTTAGCACCATAATAAGACAATGACTCCAGTCCATAGCGTTTAGTCCTTGGTCGTTTAGTACGCGTTTCCATAGCGTTTAGTCCTTGGTCGTTTTAACTGTAATTGATGAGAATTTCAAAAACATTTAAAGAATAAGCATTTTCATAATGTTATTCAGTGGTGAACGAGAATTGATCACATTGTCATAATTTACAAGTGTGACATGAGGATCTGTATTTGTTATCCAACAGATTCAAACAAATATCTCTAAATATGTAAAAATTCTTATTTTGGGGATATTTTTAATCCAATGCTGATACAATGCCAAGTAGATTTTGACAAACTTCAATAATAAATAGCTAATTAAATTTGTAAAACCCTTTTTTTTACCCATTTTTACCCTCAGTATGAGTCAGACATGTTATTTGTAATTGACTACAGAAATTGTAGTTAAAAGCTCTATCTTGCATATGAATTATTACTTGTAGTACAACATTTCCTTTATTGGATCTGTTCCCATGCTGAGAAAACATGTACAGAGACATCAGTTATATTTTTTTAATAAATTATTAACAATTGCCAATGTGTCTTAATTGCTGTGAAAACAGTTATATATTTTGTTCCCTACACACATTTAGAACTATAAAACCATGTACCTAGAGGGTGATCCTTGTAGACAATATAACTGCATTTTATTTTTTGACC